CTCCCCCCCTCCCTCACACACTTTCTCTCTCCCTTCTTCCAGGACCTGGGAAGTGAGTTGCCCGGTGAACGGAGCGGTAACTTCAAGACTCTGTCCCTCCCTCATACTCCCCCCTCTCTCTCCCTCCCTCATACTCCCCCTCTCTTTCTCCCTCACACACTCCCTCCCTCCCTCCCTCACACACTCTCTCTCTCCCTCCCTCCAGGACCTGGGAAGTGAGTTGTCCGGTGAACTGAGCGGTAACTTTAAGACTCTGTGTGTGGAGATGTTGCTGGGGACCGCTGAGTTCGACGCAAAACAGCTCAACAAAGCTGTCAAAGTGAGTCATTATCTCTCCTCCTTTCTTATCGATCATTTGTCATTCTTATCTCTCCTCCTGTCCTATCAAACATCCATCGTCCTTTTCTCTTAGTGAGTACTATGATATGGTTTGCTCTTCCTTTCCTACCAAACAGCTATCGTCCTTTTAAAATCTCTCTTTCATCTTTCCTACCAATCTCACCTCCTATCGTATCAGACATCTATTGTCCTTATCTCTCCTCCTTTCCTATCAAACATCTATCATCCTTATCTCTCCTCCTTTATTATCAAACATCTATCATCCTTATCTCTCCTCCTTTCTTATCAAACATCGATCATCCATATCTCTCATCCTTTCCTATCAACATCTATCATCCATATCTCTCCTCCATCTTTCCTACCAAACTCTGCCATCCTTATCTTTCTTCCTTTTTTCCTATCAAACATCTCTCTTCCTTCTTTCCTATAAAAAATCTCTCCTTCTTTCCTATCAAACGTCTGTCGCCCTTATACTCCTTTCTTATCAATCATCTAACATCCTTATCTCTCTTCTATCTTTCCTAACAAACATATTTCATCCTTATCTCTCCTTTCATATCAGACGTCTGTCTATCGGTCTCATCTCTCCTCCTCCTCCTTTTCTTTGTATGCTACTCTCCAGAAACACCTCTAATCTTGGGCACTAGCGTGAGGTGCTTGTGTTTACAAGTGCCGTAAAACTCTTTCTACGACTAAACTGAAGTGTGTGTGTCGTTGGAGTCGTGGGGGAATGTTTTACACCCTCGTCGACCCAATGTGGGTCGTTTAAGAGGCAGGCTGCTCATATCCTGCCTTCCTGTCAGCGCTCATGTTTGCTAAGTGCTGGAATACCCCCCGGGACGGTGCCACTGACTGAAGTGTCTGTAGGCCATTCCCAAAGGGGGGACATTTCTCGTTTAAGCATAGTAGAATTGTAAATGGGCTGACTCATGTCACGCTCATAACTGTGCCTGATCTACAACAGGGAACTGCTGCTTTTTCTTTCCTGATCCTTACTATTGTCATTTTCCTCTACTTCTTTTGTATGTTTGTCACTCTCTTGTGACCTGCTATTTCCGGGGTGCCATGATAGTCGAAGCAGACCTTGTACCGTTGAATCTAGAAAGGTGAGCAGTCTAAGTCTGATTCCCTGTAAAGACTTCTCTGTTGACACCCACCCTTTGGCGCTCATATGACCATATGCAGTTGCGAGCGCCGTAAAACTCTCTACTATAAAAAAAAATATGAGTGCGGGAATGTGGTTCGCTCCTTCTTTCCTATCAAACGTCTAAGGTCTTTATCCCCCCCCCCCCCCCCCCCTCCTTCTTTTTTGTGTTTGTTACTCTCTTGTAACACCTCTGATCTTTGGCACTTATACGAGGTATGACCTTATTCTGTTGCAAGTGCCGTAAAACACTTACTGAAACTAAAAAAAAGTGTTGATGCTGTTGCTGTTGCTGTTGTTGTTGTTGTTGTTGTTGCTGCTGTTGCTGTTGTTGTTGTTGTTGCTGTTGTTGTTGCTGTTGTTGTTGCTGTTGTTGTTGCTGTTGTTGTTGCTGTTGTTGTTGCTGTTGTTGTGATTACACAAATGCTGTTGCTAGTGCTGTTGCTGTTGCTGCTGTTGTTATTGTGAGTACACATGTGCTGTTGTTGTTGCGACATGCAGGGTCTGGGCACGGACGAGACGACTCTGGTAGAGATCATCTGCTCGCGGACGAACCAACAGCTGACCGACATCAAGGCCGCCTACAAGACCAGTAAGTTTGCGTTTTTTTGTCGCTCCTTTGGTTCTGTCTTTTCTTTCTGTCTGTCTTTTTGTGTTTGTATTTCTTTTTTGTGTTTGTATTTCTTTTTTGTGTTTGTATTTCTTTTTTGTGTTTGTATTTCTTTTGTTTCTGTATTTTTTGTTTTGTTTCTGTATTTCTTTTGGTGTTTTTGTATTTTTTTTTTGTTTCTGTATGTCTTTTGTTTTTGCACTTCTTTTGTTTCTGTATTTTTGTGTGTGTGCCTATTACTTTTGTGTTAGCGTTTCTTTTGTGTTTGTATTTCTTTTGTGTTTGTATTTCTTTTGTGTTTGTATTTCTTTTTCTTTTGTTTCGGTATTTGTTTTGTTTGCATTTTTTAAAATCTCTTGCCTATTTCTTTAGTCTTTGCGTTTCTTTTGTTTCTGTCTTTCTTTTTGTGTTTGTATTTCTTTTGTTTTTGTAATTCTTTTGGATTTGTATTTCTTTTGTTTTTTGTGTTTTATGAAATAAAGGTGTTTTTAAGCCCCCAGCAATACAATCTATGAAACACTATCCAACATGTATCGTCCTTATCTCTCTTCCTTCTTTCCTATCGAACATCCATTGTCCTTATCTCTCCTTCTTTCTTATCAAACATCTATTGTCCTTATCTCTTCTCCTTCTTTCCTGTCAAACATGTTTTGCTTTTATCGTTTTATGGATTAGGATGGGATATGGCAGATAGGATTGATTGATATGGAATAAGTTGAGATGAGATAGTGTAATGTATTATGCTGCTTTCCTTTCATGTCAATCATCAATTGGTCAAACGCTTTTCTTTTGACCCCTTGGGGCGTACTACGGACTGAAATGTCTTTAGGCCATTCCCAAAGGGGGGATATTAACATGTAGAATTGTAAATGGGCTGATTTATCAATGTCGTGCTCATACTGTGCTGGAACAACATAGAGGCAACTGCTGCTTTTTCTTTCCTCGTCCTTACTATCGTCATTTTTCCTCTTCTTCTTTTGTACATTTGTCACTCTCTTGTGACCCGCTATACCAGGGGTGCCCTGATAGTCGAAGCAGACTTTGTGCTGTTGAAGTAAGAGAGGTGAGCAAAGTAAGCCTGGTTCCCTGTATGGACTTCTCTGTTGACATCCACCCCTTGGCGCTCATATGACCGTATGCAGTTGCGAGCGCCGTAAAATCTCTACTAAAACTAAAGAAAAAGCAAATAACCATACATCTCATTCACACCTCCCTCATAGTGTACGGGTGGGTGGTAGGCGGGTGCTCTGGTGTGGTTTGCTTCTTCTTTCCTATCAAACATCTATCATCCTTATCCCCCGTCCTTCTTTTTAAAGTTTGTTACTCTTTTGTAACACCTCTAATCTTCTGGTGCTCTTATGATCTTATGCACTGGCGAGGGCCGTAAAACCTCTACTAAAACGAATAGTGTGCGGTATCATGTTGCCTTCCTTTCAGTTTCATATCAATCATCGATTGATCAAACAACCTTCTCATGCTCACCTCCCTCTTCATTCCTTTTTGTCTCCCAACCTCCCTTCCCTCCGTATCACCCACTCTCTCCTCTCCTCCTCCTCCCCCCTGCTCCCTTCGTCCCAATCTTTCCCCTACCTCCCTCCCCTCCAAACCACCTCCCTCCCCTCCCAATCACCCCCCTCCATCCTCTTCCAACCACATACCTTCCTTTCCTCCCAACCACCTCCCTTTCTTTCCTCCCAACCACTTCCATCCCCTCCCAACCACCTCTATTTCCCCTTTTCTGTCACCCCCTCCTCGCTCCCCCCTCCCTCCCTTCCCTCCCAACCACCTC